CAGCTGTTTGGTGGTGTAATACATTGCCTCAAAGAGTGATGGAGTTTCCTTCTTTGGAGGTTTTTCAACAGAGGATGGATGGCCATCTGTCGGGGGTGCTTAGACTGTATTCCTACGTGACAAGGGGTTGACCTGGATGGCTCTTGATGTCTCTCTCAATTCTATTCTATGAAATAGGCCTCCTTACAGGATCACTCAGTCTTATCACTGGATCTTTTCATCCCCTCATTGGGAGCCAATTCAGATGGTGAAAATAATCCAGGCTGAATCTGGGTTTAATATTTGTTGTTCACATGCATTTTGAATGCATCTGATTAACTTTGCGGGGCGGGTGCCAAAAAACCCCACTTAACCCAGGATAATCAATATTGGATTTTCCCCCCTGAGTTGTTGTTGTTTTAAAAAAAAAAAAAAAGATTGACATTGTCAGCAATGTGAATAACCAGTGCAAACAGACCTGGGATAAACTGGGATAAAACTCTGCATGCCTTGAATGTGTTTCCAATGCATTAACATTGCTGACTCTATCTTCATTTGAGTGCTGGCACATGTGAGTAACCGAACTCCCAGAGATGAACATAGATGCAGTTCCATAGTATGAATAACAAAGCTGGAATGAGTGAGTGAGATTATTTGCATAGTCGCACTAAAAAAAAAAAAAATGACCCCTGCATCATTTGATTCCCCTCACTGGAAAATTCACTGCAGACAAAGCCAGAGTAAACCTGAAGGCACATTATGACAACAACATGACACTAACAGGATGCCTGCCTACGTACCTATCTGTTCCTCTGGACATGTTCAGACATGCTAATGGAAATTTTCCCCTTAAGCTTCCTAGATACATTGTGATTTAGCTCTGATTGCATTGTGGAAGAAAGAGATAAGCATCCCCTTTGTGTGCACTGCCTTTATAGACAAGATCCACCCACCTTTGTGCATCCATAATCAATAAAGCCAATTAAAAGAGATGATAGTTTGTAGCTAAAAAAATAACATATAGTTTGAGGCTTGAATAAAATCTCCATGTTCTGCAATGGTGACCTAAATTAGTCCCAAACAGAATAGACCTATTGACATCAATAGCAGCTTGGTACATGCACATTTGTGTAAATCCTATTGCTTCAATGGGTTTACTCTCAACAATTGGATTAACAATTAGATATAGGCTAGTATGTTATGGAATACCATTTATAGAGGAGACGCTGGCTGAGTGTATTGCCTGATATGGGAGACAAATTTATTTGTTCATATTTCAACCTACCAAATTTCATATTTTGAATCAGAATATATAAGTAGAAACACACTTCCTCTTTTCTTTTCTTTTTTTCATTTATTTTTTTGGGGGGTCTCTGCTTCTGTGGTGCAGCTCTTTAGTCAAAAGCACATACAAAAATAAATATCTTAAGGGAAAGGGCCCACCAAAATACATACAGTGAAGAAAATAATATATGAACATGCTTTGTGATGGAGAAAATTGTTGGCAAAAATGAATAAATGAGGCAAAATGATGTACAGAGATATGTATATTGAGATAAATGTGTACAGAAATGAATGTAGATTATCATGCATCCTTTTCACAGAATAGGTGGGTTTCAAACTGATGCAAAAAAAAGGGAAATTAAAATTAAGACAAGAACAAAAGCTGAGCTGAGAACAAAAACTGAGATCAATCTGTCTTTGCATATTACACTACCTACCTTGGTTTTTGAAAAGTTCCTTTTTTGAACTACAACTCCCAAGCCCCCTTTGCAGTACACAATTATAGCACTTTGACATCGCTATAACTGCCATGGTTGCATCTAATAGAATCTTGGGGTTTGTTGTTTTGTGTGGCATTTAGAATTCAGTGCTTATTCAAACTACAAATCACTGAATTCCATAGGATAAGTCCCTGGCAGTTAAAGTGATATCAAAGAGCTACAGTTGTGTAGTAAGGAAGAGACACCAGAATCCCCAGTCAGCATGACTGGATGGGGATTCTGGGAGTTGCAGGTTTTGGATTTGTTTGTTTTTAAAATAACTTTTGTGTGTTCTGGCTTTGCCAATCTGGAAAGCAGGGATACCAAATCAGATAGACTTTTAGTCTATTTCAACTAGGTCTTCTTATGTTAACAGAGATAATGTGTTTTTGTTAGCGATCACCTTTCATAATCCTTCAGTGCCCCTTTAAGTGGGTCTGTGTATATATTTCTAAACCTTGAGAACTAAATGCCTGGAGATGCCTTCCACCCCTGGAGATTGTAACCTCAGCTAGCACAAGTCCAGCATTGAAAGATCTACAGCCTCCAGGCAGTGGAGGAAAACTCTTTAAAGATGAATCATTTTCATAAATGAGTGCAGAGGGAGGTCAAGCCAGGGGACATTGAAGGTTACATGTGTGGCTGAGATAAGACCCCATTCATCCTCCCCTTACTGTCAGGTTGTGATGGGCGAGCATTGCCTTGAGCACCCATAAAACATGTTGTTTGCAGAAAGCTTGCAGGTGGTTCATTTTTTTTCCTCCCCAAAGAGGAACATCCAAACTGTTACCAGAAATTTATCTTCCCATGGCTAGGTCAATTTATTAGAAGAGAAATTCTTGGAGAGATATTCCACATCACTGGCTCCCATGTTACCTCCTTCTTCAGTACTGCACTAAAAGAAAAATGTCATCAGTTATTTGTATGGATGGTACCTTGACAATTTGTTGAATAAGACTGTTAAAAGTTGGGGAGAAAAGAGGGGTCTAGTTAGAAGAAACTGGTTCTTTGCAAAGACAGCTTGAGCTGACCTTATTTGAGGATTGTATTGAGGAAAGTCAATCTACTTTGCCCAATCTCAAAAAAGCATCAAGGGTGTTTTCTGGCAGTGCTAAGGATTGTCCAAAACATGCTGGCTGGAACGCATAACTGCAGGAGGGACCTGCTTGCATATACTGTATATTCCTCCACAGAACAACAACAACTTGAGAAAATGCAAACCTTTGACCAACATCATCATTTTATTTATTTTTTTCTCCTGTATCATTCTTAACACTTTTGCCTGATGAAGAAGCCAGTGGAGCTTTGAAAGTTTGCATCCTGTATTTAGTGCATTTTGGTTGGTCAATTAAAGGCATCACTGTTTTGTGGATTTGGGATGTTATTGTACTTTGTAGCTACAATTGTGTGACCTAAAGTTACACATTTGTAACTGATTCATGTTCACAGTCCCTCTGTATTCAATAATGTGGGGAATACATTGGGATTGTAAAAGTCTGGCAGTCCTGCCTTACTGGACAGCAGCCACTGTGAGCAATAGATCCTGTTCCCCTATCAGTCAAGGTGCAGCCGATCAGTGATCTCTGGTGCAATAATTAGAAGAAGGATCCCTGCTTCAGTTCCTCACACTAGAGACCTCTATCAGAAGGATGGTGGAAACCTCTGTTGTTTGCAGCAGCTCCTGCATGGTAAGGCAAGATTAGGTGATGCTACTTAGGTCAAACCAGGAAATGCTACTTTGTTAAGTATACTTATCTAAAGGAATATTTAACTAAGGAGTTCATCACATGGGGGCAAACTGCAAAAATCCCATGCAGGAACAGGATTTAAAAACCGGAAAAGCAGATTTAAAAACCCGCAAAAGCGGGTAGTTTTTCATGCACAATATAATAATAATAATAATAATAATAATAATAATAATAATAATAATAATAATAATTTTTATTTATAATTTTTATTTATATGACATTAACCCGAACATAAAGTAGACAAAACCCACCCCTTTTCCCAAAAGAAAAAAGGAGCAGGTTTTGTCTAGTTTCCATTTGGGTTCACGTCACGTTAATTCTCATTAACACTAACGTCTGAAAAACAAGCCTCTTTTACGGGGTTTTTCTACTTTCTGTTTGGGTTAACCCTGAACATCATCTGAAAAAATACTCACTTTTGTGGGTTTTTTTCCAGTTTAAATCCAGTTTCTGTACAGGATCTGTCCCGTATGATAAACTCCTAAGTAAGGCTTTGTCTGCACTAGGCAAGATACTGACCCTTTAGTTGTCCTGTTCTTCCTCCATTATTCCATTACTCTATTATTATTATTATTATTATTATTATTATTATTATGATGTTTGTTTATTTATTTATTTATATCCCATTCTTCTCCCAAAACTAGGACTCAGAGCAGCTCGCAATATTAAAAGAACAGTACAATTAAAAACATATAAAAGTGATACATTAAAATAGAATTAATCATGGCAATATTAAAATAGATTACTTGAGAAAAGAATAAAATACAGTTAAACCTCATTACGCCATTATTCCATTACCTCATTTCTCCATTACTCTATTAAAACCTACCTGTTGCTCTGCATTTCCCAGGAATATCCAGAGCCCCCAATTTCTGTGCCACAGCAGCTGTCTGCCTGGCACTGCCACCATGTGTTACTCGCTTCTGAGGTTGGAATGAGGTGACTCCCATACAGACAGTCACTGCAGCACAGAAACAGAGGGTTTCGGATCTTCCTGGAAGATTCAGAGAACAGACAGGTTTTAAAAACGCTGTTTAACCTTGTTATGTCCCAGTTCTGGTGCAGGATGTGTCATCTGCCCTGCCCACACCAGAACCAGGGTTTGGGCTGTGCGTTGTCTGAGCAGGACAACACCAGGCAGGGGGAAACAAGCCTTTTAGCCCATGCAGACAATGCTTAGGGCTGCTGCCACACTGCAGAATTAATGCACTTGGACACAGCTTTAAGTGTCATGGCTCCAGCCTATGGAATCCTGGGATTTGTAGTTTGTTGTGGCACCAGAGCTCTATGACAGAGAAGAGGAAATATCTCACAAAACTACAGATCCCAGAATTCCATAGCATTGAGCTGTGTGTGTGTGTGTGTCCATGCTGTGTGCTTTCAAATCATTTTCGATTTATGGTGAACCTAAATCAAACTTATCATGAGGTTTTCTTGGCAAGATTTGTTCAGCGGAAGTTTGCCATTCTGAATTGCATGTGATTTGGTCAACGTCACTCAGTGGGTTTCATGGCCAAGCAGAGAGTCGAACCCTGGCTTCCAGAGTCATAGTCCAACACTCAACCACTACGCCACACTGGGTGCTGCCTGTTCACCTCTTTGCAGCCAATCTGTGGCAACATCCCCAGTACTGCCTTAGGGGAAGCTGGATGTTGCACAAAGAGTCCATGTTGTGTGCTTTTGGGATAAAAATTATTATTATTATTATTATTATTATTATTATTATTATTATGTAAAATCTGCTCCCACTGTCCCAGTTTGACTGGGAGTTCTGCAAAGGCATTGGTGTAATCTGCACTGCAGAAATAATGCAGTTTGACACCACTTTAACTGTCATGGCTCAACACTATGAAATTCTGAGATCTGTAGTTTTTCAGGGGCATAGGGCCTAAGCAGATGGACGGCTGTGGGCTGCCCCGGGAAGCTGTGGATTGGGGCCGAGGTAGCCGCACTCCTTGGCCCCAATCCACAGCTTCTCAGGCCCTGGAAGGAGTGCTAAAATGGCACTCCTTCTGCAAAACGCTGAAGGTGCGCCGCAAGAGGCATTAGGTGCACCTTCAGCATCTCTTCCGCCTCAGCATGTGCGGACGCTGCGGTGGAAGTACGTAATCGGAGCTCCGGTTGTACGGAGCCCCGGGCGCTCTGATGATGTATTTGGGAAGGGGTTGGGGTGCCCAGCTTGAGGCTGCCCCTCCCCTTCCTTGCCTCCAAGACAGTGCAAAGTGCCATCTGCTTCCTCCCATAGTTTCCTTTATTGAGTCGATCCATATGGCAGGCAGTTTCCTCTTTTCTTCCTGCCTTCTACCTTACCAAGTATTATCGTCTTTTGTAGTGAGACATCTTCTAATGACGGATAGTGATTGATAAGATATTATTTTAGTATTTTAGCATTTTATGGTTTTATTGTCCATTTTTGATTATATATGTTTGATGTTCCGCCCTTTGGTGGAAAGGTCATTATAAATAAACACTGTTGTTGTTGCTGTTGTTGTTGTTCCAAAGTACAATAGTTTAGTCATCTTGGCTTCCAGGGAGAGTTCATTGTTTGATTTCTGCTAGGACCTATTTATTTGTCTTTTTTATTTCTCCAAGATAGCCTTAAAATTCTTTTCCAATGCCACATTTCAAGTGAGTTGATTTTCTTCCTATCAGCTTTCTTCACTTTCCTGCTTTCACAACCATACATAGAAACTGGAAATACAGTTGGCCCTCTATATCCACAGATTCTTGGTCCATGGATTCAACCATCCATATCTTGAAAATAGTTTTAAAAAATATAAATTCCAAAAGGCAAACCTTCATTTTGCCATTTTATATAAGGGACACCATTTTACTACCCTGTTGCGTGTAATAGGTCTTGAGCATCCATGGATTTTGGTATCCATGGGAGGTCTTGGAACCAAATCCCAGCAAATACCAAGGGCCCACTGTACAATGGCATGGACAATCCTAGCTTTAGCATTTAATGATATATCTTTAACACTTCAGCATCTTCATAGCTGTCCTTCCAAATCCTAGTTTTCTTCTCATTTCTTAACTGCAGTCTTCATTCTGATTAACAACAACTGAGTGCAAGTATGGAAAATCTTGAAATATTTCAGTGCCTTCGTTGTCTACTTTAAAGATATGTAAATCATCTGGGGTCATTGTTTTTGTTTTCTAAATGTTCAACTATAAACCTTTGCACTTTCTTCCTTGATTTTCTTCATTGATTGTTCCAAGTCTTTGCTATTTTCCACTAGTAGTATGGTGTCATCTGCTGTCTTCAACTGTTGATGTTCCTTTCTCCAATTTTCACATCTCTTTCTTCCAAGTCTAATCCTACTTTATGTATGATGCATTCAGTGTACAATATGTAATTAAAAATCGCTGCCACACTGTGGAACTGTTCTTAAATATTATTGTTGTAATTCATATTGTATGTTTTTAATTTGTAACTGATTTAATAACTTTTTAAGGGGGGGAGGGAATTAGATTTTATTGTTGTATGTTACATTTTACTGTTGTTGGACACCCCAATTGATCTCAAAGGGGCGGGATATAAATAAAATTAATAAATAAAATTATTATTATTATTATTATTATTATTATTATTATTATTATTATTATTATTATTATTATTATTTATTACAAGCCTTGTCTGACCCCCTGACCCCTTGCCAACTGGAAACCATTCCATTTCTTGGTATTCTGTTCTGATGGTAGCCTCTTGTCCTGAGTACAAGTTATGCACCAACTGGGGCTAAATCCAAACAAGAGACACAAGCAGGGTAGATCCACTGTATCAGTTCCTAGATGGAAAGTCAACATGAAATAAATTCCATTGATATCCACCATCCCATTGATTCTGGGAACTGTTGTCATTTTTTAAATATATATATATATATATATAAGCCATAGAATCTAGTCTTACTGCCAATAATAGTGGACCATGATTCATCCAACTGAATTGTAACATGGGGCTATGTCTCTTGGTCTATAATATTTATTATAATAATTATTATTATTATTATTGTCTTACAGCCATTTCTGATTTACAGTGACCTCAAGGTAAATTTATCATGTGGTTTTCTCTGCAAGCGCTCTTTACAAGGGGTTTACCATTGCCTTCCTAAGGTTGAGATAGCATGACTTGTCCAAGGTAACCCAGTGGGTTTCTGTAACCATGGGAGAATTTGAACCCTGGTCTCCCAGAGTCCTAGTCCAATACTGAAACCACTTCAGTATGCAGCTCTCAATCTCTGAGCCTTTTTAAAAATTAAGAGGCAAGGGGAAAGAATGGCGACTGGTCAAGTGTTCAGTGGCCAGAATCCTGTTGGTAACTTAGCTTGTATAATCATTCAATGATGCAAGCTGTTGGATTGTTTGTTTGTTTTTTCATAGTGTAAGGAGATTTCTGAAGCTTTCTTGTACAAGTGTTTCCTCAGGTTGTGAAGAAGATCATGGTGCTTCCAGAAAGACATGTGGGTACAAATCTGCCTCCTGCCTCAATGCCAGATATCTTGAATCCCTTGCAATTCTGCTGAGTTACACCACAATAAAATTATGTTACACCAGCTATCAACAGATCTTGGCCAACTATTAATATCTTTTTATGCTGTTTGCTACAGCCAACATAACACAGCAAGTAGAGAGGCCACAGTGAGTGTTCTTTAAACAGGAGGCCTAATTTCATCCTTATGATCCATACCATGATGACCTTCGAATAGCTAGAAGTATGTCAATTTCACGTCACAAATTTCATTATGATATTTCAACTCTCCCTTAAACGTGCAAAAAGAGACATGGCCAAAAATCTTAAAAGGTATATCTTAAGAGTCATTTTAATGAATTACAATGGAGGAGGCCTGGGTTTCTGCTTGAAATGGTAATAAACATTTTAAAGGTCTGAAGGCTTCACAGGATGCAAAATGTTGATTTTTCAATGAAAATAAAATTAGGCCTTTGGGGGGGTTATTTTATCTTTCTGTTCTGATTCAGTTTTCCACATATAAAGAAATGATCTAGGCCCAGTAATTATCTTGCAGTGGGAAGGCAATTTTTAGTGGGTTTTTAAAAATAAAAAATCCAACAACATCTACAGTTGCAAAGAGTAGAGACCTAATTATCTCTTCCTTCCAGTTCTCAGTACAGGTTATATGGAAATTCCTTTTGGATCTGATAAATGCAATTACTCACTAATCTGCAGGGACATGTCATTATTCTATAATCACCTGGAATTTATTTACCAATAAACCTCATTAAATTGCTACATAATTAAACAGCAGTTACTTGGCATTTTGTGCTCTTCTGTATAAATTACTGTGGACTTTTAAGGTTTTTTCCAATTCCAGGGAGCTGGAGCCCTAGTTTAGTACTTTTCAAGACTTATAAGTCCAGATGTTTAGACTCCTTCAAGGAAATGGTGCACTATGCAATCAAGTGTGAACTGTAAGCTACAGAGACACAACCTTGGGTGCTCCTATGAAAACTTGAGATTTGTAGTTTTTGTGGCACCAGAGCTCTCTGACAGAGAAGGCTAAATGTTTGTCAAAAATATAAATCCCAGGATTCCATAGCACTGAGCCATGGTAGTTAGAGTAGTGTCAAACTGCATTGATTCTGCAGGGTGGCAACAGTTTTTGGGCCTTGGCAG